AAAAGAAGACCATAGCACAAGAATGCATAGAAATTTATCAATTTGGAAGCACAAATCACAACTGCTAATTCTAGGCACAAAGTTATATGACAAGAGATTTAAGATAGAGGATACATCACTGACATTTGGAATCACCTGGTGCTCTGCGTGAAATTCTGAGAGCTTGTCTGTAGAGCTTTAAAACCCTAGCTCGGAGGAGAAAATCCTGCAAATCAAGCGCCCCAGCCATCAATAATTTCTTTGCTTCGATTTTTAACGTTTCTTTTTAATTGAAAAAAATGAGTGGCTTTTTTATTCAATTGAAATTAGAGAAACTAAAGGCCTACAATATTGTTCTGGCGCTTGGTGATCACTTAATCCAGTGGGCCAATGGGCCACCCAGAGCCCAAGCCAAAAATATTTATAAGAATTGTGTTTAAATTTGTTTTCAATTGAATATACATCCAACTCCATTCCGTTAATTTTTTATTATTATTTTAATAAAAAATAATAATCAATGAAATAATGACTAGTAGATATAAATATTATAATTGATGAATTGTAAATGTTACAAAAATAAAATAAAATAGTAATAAATAATTTTTAGTTTCTATTTTTATTAAAAGATGTGAAAGAAGATAATAGACAAAAGTGAAATGGATAAACTGAATGAGATTGGGTAGAAGGCATTTCCAATTGTTTGAGTTATATACCTTCAACGTATGTCTGATCTGTAAGGTGCTGATTATGAATTTAATCAACTTTTTGAGTTTTTTATCCGAGCTGTTTGTGTGGATTGAGAATTTGAATATAACGTTTTTGAGTTTAGTTAATGTAGCAAATGAGTCGGGCAGTATGTGAACAGCTTGAGTCAAAACTTAACTTAGACATCGAGTATGAACACTTCGAATTCAAACGCGAATCGAGTTCGAACTTGTGTTTTCTATTTTGTAAGTTTGATTTTTCAACAAGTCGCTGAGTATATATTTAATTACCTAACTATCTCTAACTCAAACTAAAATTGTTCCCAAATCGAGCAACTTTTTTCTTAAATTTGAGTCCATCTTGAGTTGGTCTCGTACATTTGTAAAATAAAATTTGTCGCGTCGAGTTGAACCTTACCAAGTATAGCTCGTCGAGCTCACATGGAATAATAAAAATTGAGCTCGGCTCGAAATTGGTATTGCCCCAACTTTAATCAAACATCCCCTAAAGGAGCTCAACGAATTTGTAGCAAAATTCAACACTCATTTTAATATGGTCTCAACTCGGACATAATTCAATTGTTTTGATAATCATGTTAAATCAGTTCAGTTAAATTGAAAAATAATGGATGATAATTAACGTGACTTTTCTTCAAAGAAATCAAACTGATCTCATATGTTCGACTTTTCTTCAAAGAAATCAAAGAAATCAAACTGATGACATATGGTCTCAACACGGCGTATTTTCTCGTTTATTTTGGTGTTGATTAGGTCCATATTGCGAAACTTGGAAAGACGAGTCGTCCAAATCATTGACGAACCGTCCGAGCCACCCAAGCCATTGCCGAGCCATCCCGAGATTATTCCGAGCCACTCGAGCCGTTCTGGGCCATAACCGAGTCCCGCGTTCTGCACTCGTCGCGAGCGCCCAGTCACGAGCGCATGAGCCCGAGCACTCGCTGCAAGCCCCTGTCCGCGAGCTCCCGAGACAACCCGTGCTTCATGCAGCACTCGCAGCGGGCGCTCAGCCGCTCATCCGCGAGCGCGCGAGACACATCTGAGACAACCAGGCACTCACGGCCACGCCACCTCTCTCGCGAGCTCGCCGCGAGTCCCCAACAGCCACACTCGCGACCTGTGTGCACACCCGCGTCCTCGCGAGTGCCGTCCATGCCAGCGCCAGCACTCGCCCGAGGCGACCTAGGACACTCGCTGCGGGCTAGCGTCCGCGACCTAGCGAGCTGCGACCCAGGCCAGCCCTATGCACCCTCCACACTCACTGCGAACCATGTTTCAAGACCCGGCGAGTCCAAAATTTCATTAAATGTGTGTGAGAGAAGTGTACGTTTTGTTGGGTAAGTATAAAGACATTTGTGTCTTTATATTTTGAGAACCAAGCTTTCATTTTCCTGTGTTTCCCAAGCTTTCATTTTCTTGTGTTTCTCACTTTGGTAATAACTCTTTTTCCTTATTTTCTCTCTAGACAACTTGTAGAGGTTCTAGCCATACTTTTTCGGCAACTTTTCCGGTGATGCTTGTTTTTATTAAAGACTCGATTTTTTCATATCTATTTCACTTGTGACCATTGGCTAGACTTCGCCGCTTTTATCGAGCCCATGACCCGCAACGATTCTTTTGACTTCTACACACGCCATCTTGGTCTTCACTCTGGTGTGGGAAACACCTCTAACAAGATTAGTTTTTTCACTCTTACTATCTTGTTTATTGCTCTATTTTTGTTTACTTAGGGTTATGAAGTAAAATTAGTTTCTTATAGGAACGTGCGTGTTGAGTTCGTTTCTAGTTAAAGTTTCAATCTTTTCACATCTATTGCGCTCGGGATTGCATAGGGAAGTGAGTATTGCTCTATTTTTGCTTACTTATGTTTAAGAGGTAAAATTAGTTTCTTGTTTGTAAGTTGAGTGTTGAGCTCGGTTCTAGTCAAAATGCTAACTTTTGTTTTATCTTACTTGTCGAGTGTGATTTGTTAATTAAAGTTCGGATCTTTTGAGAGAAAAATTGGAACTTTAGTCAAAGGTTGATCATTTCGTAATCATTTGTTCGGCTTTAGATCTAGTTGCATGGGATATGGCTTGTTTCTCTTTATTTGAGTCTTTTCTCGAGTTTGAACACTCCAATGCGAGTATTGTCTAGAGTTTTCTTTCAATCTCTCTGTAGACATTGAAATTTTAATATTTTATTAATTAATATCTTTATTTATTTTTGGACATAAATCTATGATAAATAAGATATATAATTAATAATGTTATTATTTCTTGCCCACCAAGTCAAATCTTAGGATAAGGAAAGAGATTATATCAAATCATGAAATACCAATCAAATTGATGTCTTCTTCTCCAAGACTCTCTCTCCTACACTTATAAATAGGGCTCTCCCCAAGGTCAAAAAAATCCCACACCTCAAAAAATAAAAAATCAAAGACAGCTCAAAAATCAAACACACCTCAAAAATTTCAACCCCTCATAAATCAAAGTCTTAATCAAAGAGCTTTCAATAATTCTCTTGAAGATCCAAAGGTCTTCTTAAAGATCCACGACATTCAAGTTAAAGATCCAAGAAGATAAGAATCAGAGGGTTCCATATAGAGATTGTACCCGTAATGTCGTTTGATCGAAATAAATTCAAGTTGTACAAAAGTTTTATATTTCTCATAAAATTTGTTGTTACAAATTTGGCTCGCCCAGTGGGACCTAAACGAAATTCATTGTTACAAATTTGGAACGCCAAGTGGGACCTAAACGAAATTCATTGTTACACTCATCTTTTCTTAATTGCTTTCAAGTGCTTAGCTTAAATTAGTGGAAAAATCAACTCCTTAAGTATGTTTAGGACTTTATTTTTCCTTTTTGTGCTCTTGACAACTAATGTGTGAACGAAGCTCTGAATCACCTTCCTTGAGAGACGACCCGAGGAGGATCTTTCGATCATGCTCGGCTAAAAGCAACTAAACACGGATCCAATATAATTTCATATTGGGGGCATTGTTTAGTTCATATAAAAAGTATATCATCAAAATAACATAATTCCATTACAATTGATAAATCATACTTTTCATAATTTATCATCTTTCTCATTTTTAATACATTTTTTACACATCAATACAGTCACAATAAATTAAAAATATTTAGGAATAAAAGCACAATTTTCTCAATTCAACAAAAGAAAATCATTGAGAATAATATATTTTTTACAAAATTTATGTTATAGTATAGTTGACTGGACAATATAATTGAGGAGTTTATAAATTATGAATATATAACTATAATTCCACATAAATTAGTTAAAAAAGACATAACAATATATTTTTGAAATTAGAGAAAAAATATGTTGCAAAAAAAGGGAATAAATGTTATCATCAAGATTAAAAAAATAGAATTAGAGGGTAAATTTATAATTTTGAGATTTACCATACTTTCTTTCGTTGTGGTATTGTGTTTATGATGTAACTTTACTATAGTTATGAGTTTAATTAAATTATAATTGGTTGAGTTTTAAATTAATTCATTACGTATCTTTATTTTTTTTTTTAAATCAGAAAAAATGGTCCCACAATTTTTGTTAGATACCTTATCCTGTATGTTTGGGATGAGGGCCTATATTTGACCTATTAGATAAACACGGATCTTCTCATGATTTCAACAAAATATTTTGCTAGAATTTTCATTGGAAAATTCAAATAGGAGTACTAACATTGTAATATTCGTTAGAATTGTCATTGAAACTCCATTGTAATATATTTTTGTTGAATATTTCTTTGGAATTTCATCATTTTCTTGTACTAGTAGGACTGAATACATATAATATTTTGTGCAGGTAATTATTATGAAAATCGTTGATAATGTTAGAAAATATAACCATTCAATGTAATTTACATTTAATTTTTTATAATTAGTAAATTTTTCAAAACAAACAAGATACATCTAGGTTGAAAAGTCATTAATTATTTCATTAGTATTATAATGAGAAAGCTTATAGATAATTAATTATTGTACATAATAAAAAGGTAAGAATACACAATGAGAAAGCTCATAGCTCGCATTCATTCGAAAACTAAAAGAAGTGAAAAGTAATTAATGTCATATATCATTGGAGTTGGCTAATGAAAAATATAAAACATACTTAAAATGTACTTTTATTTTAATTAAAATTTTTAAGTGCATGACAAATATATTTTTTATTGCATTAAAAATCTATGTGTTAGTCTTATTGTTTTAGTTAAAAACTTAGTTACTTTCTACCATTAAATTTTTCAATTTTGAAATACTTAATAATATATTTTTATTTGTTACCTTTTTTATATGTAATACATCACATCATTTATTTTCAATGATGTTTGATCTAATCAAAGTATTGTAAATAAAATAAAACTAACATAATTATTTCTATCGATATAAAATAATATATATATAGTATCTTATAAAATAAATTATAAATCAATTTTATTAAGTATAAAATAACAATAAGATAAACATGTTCTATATTTTTCTTTCGTATATTTGAAATATTCATACCAAGAAAAAAATACAAAATAGATGTAAACTTACAACTATTAACAACATTAACTATGTGAATTAAAAAGAGAAATAAATGAGTTGTATGTTAAACTGTTATTCATTTACTGCTTGAAAGGGAACATCACAATGGTTGTAACATATATTTTAAGTGAATATGAAAATGAGGTAGTTACTTAATAGTTTATGAAACAATGCAAAACAAATCCTAAACTGTTTAATCTTATAAACAATATAAAAATACATTTTTATCCAATATACTTTATTATAAATAAATAAATAACTAATATTAATAGTATTTATAATATTGCAATTATATTTAAATAAGATATTTTGATGACAATGTCATTATATAAAACACATCTAAAAAAATGACGCAATACATATAAATGCCCTCTAACTCTTTTAGCAAATAAAATATTATTTGTGAATAGAATAAGAAACAAACAAAACAATATAAATGCAATGGAGAATAGAAAAGGTATGAATTTTCTTAGAGAAATATGAATATCGATATCTAGAAACAAAAGTCTTTCAGAATTGCTACTTTTTTTTTTGTTGATAGCGTTTAAATATATGGACCCTGTGAGAAATTGATTCTCACAAATAATGACCTATATTATTCATTTTCAATGTCAAATAATTAAAAAATATAAAATTTTTAGTACATAATATAAATTTTAACAATGACTTCGTAATAATAAAGCTCATACATAACTAAGAATATCGTACTAAAACAGAATTCAAATTGTTTCCCTCTCAAATATTTTAACAAATGATATGCTTCTCAATACTGCGTCATTGTTTTGTCATTATCGAAGAATCAAGATATGATCTTTGTCTCAAATTTCTTAAGCATTATGTATGATACCAAAAGATAGACAATAAAAACATTAAATAAATTATTAGACACTTATGTATTGCAAATTTGAACGAATGTGAAATATATTATGATAAATAATTTTAAAATTATTGCAACAACCAAGATTGTCAATGATTTGCAGAGTAGATTATGTAGTTAATCAATCTTTCATATAAATAATATTTAAAAGAAAATGTCGGAGTCTGATCAAAACATTTTTGGCCTAATTGTCAGTAATATCACGACGTCACACTTTCTGGCAGTTTTAACCAAACTTTTGAATATTAGCAAAAAAAACCTGACCGTGTCTAAAGTTTGCAATCTGATACCAAACCCCGTCGGCGACGATATATTTGCCAGTGTGTCCGGCGTTGTGATGAAGATGGAGGTTTCGATGTTGGAGCATGCCGAGAGTCGGAGGCGAAAGCTATCGAGCAAGACCGTGCGAAGGCATGGAAAGGCGTGCACATGGCCAAAAAGACGAGCATGAGCTCGTATGCAAGACGCGCCAGCACGAGGAGTTGGCGCAAGTGTGATACGAAAAAGGCCGAAAACGTCGCACGAGCAAGCGCACGGGGGCGTACGCGGACGTTATGCGCTAATGCACGAGAAGTACGAGCCAAGGGCGCGAAGATTCTAGAAGATACTTAGTTAGATTAATTAAGTATTGAATATTATTCCTAGATTAGTTAGTTTAATTAATTAGTGGTGTTAGGCAATTTTTCAGGATTAGTAATTAATTTATATTATATTGGCGTGAGTATTATTAGGTTAGAGCATGGATGTACAATCAAGGTTGTCAAAACCAGATCGGTCATCGAACCGGTGAAGCTATTGGTTCAATGGTTCACTGGTCGGACCAGTGGTCGAACCGGTTTAATTAATATATAATTTTTTATTTATTTTATATGTATAATATATAAATATATATTTATCATTAATTTTATTAATTTTATAGTGCATGAGATTTCTCTAAATAATAATTTAATAATAAATACAACCGACAATGTTGATTAATGTCTATAAATAATTTTGAAGACAATAATTTTCTAAATAATAACTCAATAATTTTATTCATTTTAAATCACATTTTAAATTTTTTATTTTTGATTAAAAGAATTAAGTATATTTTTAAATTTATGTGAGACTATAAATAATTTTGAAGACAATCAAAACTCAAAAGATATTATATTGCGAAACTTATATGAATTTTGTATATAATCATTTTAGATTATTATAAACATTGCACATTTAAAAACACCAAACAATTATTTAAAAATAAATAAAAACTCAAGACCATCTTCATGTAATATTCCCAAGTCTAATAATTTAGATAAAATCATATCATATATTACATAATTTTGTTGAAAATGACAAGTGAATTGGCCAAACATAACAAAACAATTGCCCACAAGTTTTTTAGTTTTTTCCTCAAATCTGGCCCATTTCTGAACAGGCCCAACTTTCCGTCTGGCCCATTTCCGAACAGGCCCAACTTTACTCCAAACTCAAGGAATATATCCTTGCCCCCATCGGAAGTTGAATGCAATGCAGTTGTATATTTAAGGTAGAACTTAGGTTGTGGTTGTCAGATTCAAACAACCGTTGGGTCGTGCGAACCGCCACCAGTTGACCATTTTTACCGGTTTTTTACCGATTTGAACAGCTTTGACCGGTTTTTGACATTGGCGGTTACACACCTCAAACCGGACCGGATTGCCACCAGTTCCCGGTTAAACCGGTCGCACCAGACGGTCCGGTCCGGTTTTGACAACTTTGAGTAAAATGCTTTGGGTCTAGTTTTGCTTACATGGCATGTAAATAGACTTAAGTCTTGGATGACATGGACAAAAATATAGAAAAATAATGAAATTAACTCACATGCAAAGAGATTAGGTCTCTACTTCAGTCTAAAAAAGACTTAAGGATAAACCGGGTCTCATTTCCTTCCTGGCACATCAGCAGGACCCGTACAATTGCGTTTCATTGGATTATATATTTTTCTAGACTAGCTCTATTTCCTAGGTGGCGTGTATATTTTTTTGAAAGAACCCAAAACATTGTGGATGCTCTAGTGACAAGCATGAGTTCTTTAGTGCAAGTCTATTTGATAGTTTATTATTTATTAGTTTGTTAGGATATACTTATGCAGAGAGATTACTAGTTTTAGAAGTTTTATTGTTTTAGGGTGTTAGGATATTTAATTACCTTAGTAGATAGATATTTGATTCCTATTAGAATTAGTGTAGGTTTAGTCTCATTTTCCTATAAAAGCAATGAATTAATAAAAAACTTGACCTTGGTCATCAATTCTTGTGTTTAGAATTATTCGAGTTTTTATCACAAAATCCTTGTGCCGAAAAGGGCGTTTTACCGTTCGTCATAAGCTCGCCGAGAGGAGGTGCTCTAACATACTTGAAGCAACCTATCGCCGAGAATGAGGTGTTCTAGCATCCTTTGAATCAACCTATCGCCGAGAAATAGGCAGTCTTCGTATCCTTGAAGCAAAACCGAGTATCGAGATACTCGGCTTCATCAGCTTGCTCCTACGTGGACTCCATTACTGACAGAGACATTAATAGAGTAATTTATACAATGTTAAAAAATATCAGCAATTTTAATGACATAGTGAGTTATTTTAGAGAGATAATAATGAATTGTTACTAGAAATACCTTGTAAAGATAATAGAATCATGAAGTTTGACTATATATTTTGCCATAATATTCATAAGTATTTGAATAAATTAGACGTTTTGTCAAATGAATAAAGAAGAATTTTGCAATAATATTGATGTAGTGAGTTCCAAAAAGTATGAATTTTTTTTATGGGAATGTCAAAACTAAAATGAAAGAAAATAAATTTTGACAATATTGCAAAAATTTATCTAACCCGTGTAAATCTCTAATTAACATTTTTCTCTCTCTAAAAAACTCGATCCCCAATTCCTCTCCACTCTCGCCGATAAGAAGCTGTAATCGTCGACTCCCTTTCGGCCTTCTGCCTCGCTGGTAGTTATTCCCTCGCCGCCCGGCCCTTCTATGATGCTGCGATTCGGCTCGCCATGTGTACCGAGGATTTGTGGTCGCCAATTTTAATTCGCCTCTCCTGCAGGTGGGTTAGGGTTTCCGAGTGCAGGCCAAATCGGTGTGGTGGAGGGTCCATGGGTCGCGGTGCGATGGGTTAGGGTCGGGTGCGGCTCTGGTTGATCGTCTTCTTGGGTCGGAGCGTCATGGGCATCTCAGGCGGCCTCTCTCTCTGAACTTGCCTTCGACGGCTTGAACGGACTCCTTGGTTCGTTTTTCCGGTCGCAATGGTGTGCTGTCGGTCTGCACTGTTCCTTTTCACCGGCGGAAGGGTGGTGGTAGGTAGCGAGCTTCTGGTTGACGACTTGGTTTCGCTGGTCTCAATCGAGGGTGAGCTTTCTTTTCTTGCCTTTCTTGTCTCGGTTTTTTTTTTTACTGCTGTGCTTTCTCTGTTCTCTCCGGTGTCTGGTGACGCTATGCGGCTGCGGCTTAATGTGGGGAGGCTGGGTTTGGTGCATTCGGTTCGGGGTTGGGTTCCTTTGTGGCTGAGGCGTCTCTGTGCCTTCGGGATGGTTGGGTAGGAGCTGAGGCGTTGAGTAAGCTTCGTTTTCCCTGGTTCTTTGGGTTCCGGGGTGCTCACTGTTCTCTCGGAGTCCGCTAGTGGTGTTAGGGGCTCGGTCTGGCGGTGTTGGGAGCTTTCTTGGTGTTTTCTGGCGTTGGGAGAATTGGCTTTGGGTGTGATTCGCGGTATGAGCTTCGATTCAGCTAGGCAATTTGGCAATGGAGGGGTCGCTCTTCTCATGCTGTTGGATCCCCTGGGTTGATTTGGTGACTGCTAGTCTGGTTGGATTTGCTGGAGAGGGAGCTGTCTGTGTTTTTTTTTAGTTGCTTTCGTTTGTGTTGTCTGTGTCTGTTTTTGTCTCGTGTTTTGTTGTAGTTTGTTCGAGTCTGTGTTCGGTGTGTTTGTTCGTTTTTGTTTGGGAAATGAATACAGGCTAGGCATTGTGCAGTGGCTCTGTTTTTCATTTTCTTTTTTTTTTCGTTTTATGGAGTTCTCTAGGCCGCCACGTGCGTGTCCTCTCAGATTTCTATTTCTGTGGTTTATTAGGAGTGTTTTTGGTTTGGGCTGTTGGCCCCTGTCTCATTACCCAGTTGGGGCCTTAGATATTACCCCGTTGGGGTCTTGTAATTTGTTCCTNAAAATACATTAAGAGTTTATTCGTCTACATTTAATTTTAATGGTATGTTTAATAAACTAATTAATTATTTTTCTGAACTGATTTGATAGCACGTGCACTTACAAGCGTATAAAAAAAGCTGGATTTGCGAAAATGGTGTGAAACAGGTAAACCTCCTTATTCCAAAAATGTTGCAAGCGGAAGTATACACCTTATACTCATCACACTGTAAGAAGCAAAAATGTTTTCGACCCCTTCTAAGAAATCCTCCTTCAGATCCCGCAAAAATGTCGCTAACCGGAGAGACGACGATTCCACTCCGGTGGCCGGCAACCGGAGACCACTGCTCGACAGCCCAGCCGTCCCAAACCGTCCCGCCAGTGGGACCCCCGCCCCTTGGGCCTCTCGCCTTTCCGTCCTCGCTAGGTAGTAACTCTGTTATGTGCTTATGCTCTGTCATTCTCTGTCATTTTTCCTTGACATATCTTTTTTGGAGTAGAACAAAAGGAAATGAGAAGAGATTTTGTAGGGGGTATGAATGTTCATACATCTTTGGATAAGGATACTAATTGACCTGTAGCGCTGTAGGTGACTGAGGTGAGTCGAGTAGTTTATTTGTGTGTGTCTTGTTTGTTTGTTTGCTTTTGCTTTTTTTCTTTTGTTTTTTTTTTGTTGTGGTGGTGGTGGTGGTTTGGGTTTGATTTAGCTGCTAATCTCTTTATGTGCAATGGTACGTTTCTGGATGGCTATTGAAGTTAAACTACCCTAGGACATAGAGTTTAGCTTTTGGTCTTTCAATCACGTCTTGCAACTTTAGTGGTTTTGTTCCAGTAGATAACTTTGAACCCAAGAATATCTGCATTAGCTTCTATTTGTTTGTTTGTAAGTTAATGTTTACAGTTGAGGGACACTACAAAAGCTTAAGCACCAGTTCTATAAAGATGATCATGGAAAATCCATATCCTCTCCAAGTTTTCTTGTAGGCAGAGTCACCTTTCACACTTCAGAGCCACTTTCCTAAAGTTTTACTCTATTCTCCGGTAATTTTTGGTTCAGTAGTAACCTTAAAAACCCTTGCTAGTTAGGTTTTGTTGTATTTAGCTCCAGAATTCTTAATTTGAACCTTTCCGGTTTTAAACTTTAATATACATAATAAAGGGGACATTTGTGATCCATTAGGACCTGTTCCCTTTATGATGAATATTTGTATAAAAGATTGATATTGAATTTTCTCCTCGTGTACTGGGAAGAAACAAGGACCTTGATGTGTAGTAATTAACCTTTGGACCCTGTTTTTTAATGTACCCAGAGTCCCGCCGGCCAAGAGAAGTTTCAGAGGATATGACGTAGATGCTGTTGAACCTGTCTATGTTGGGAAGTTCCCTCAAGTATTACGTATCGCACAAATGACAGTTCAGAATTATGGTCATGGTTTGTCCAGTAAAGTTTTAATCTGGAAACATATTATTGATAGATTAATTTCCAACTATTGTATTTTATAAATATTTCTAATACTAGTTCGTGTGGCAGCTGATGCATCTGTCGCTGGTGGAATGGACAAGGAGACATCCCTAGCATGGATCATTTGTGGAAACGGTCTCTTATCATCTGCTGCTTCAAGAAAATGTATCAACATTGACCTAACGTCTGTTAAAGAAGAAATTGGAGACGTGAGCAGCAGCTCATTTCAACCTAACAATTGGTTAGTCCGTTTTGTCAACTGGGACAGCTTGAAGAAAGCTGGTAGCATCACTGTCCAACAGCTCAATTCAGCTGGGATTATATTGTGTAACAAAAAAACTGGTGCTCTACTTTTCTGGCCAGATATCTCAAATGCTGATAGGATGCTTCCATTCACGTCTCGTGCCTTTTCCGACAAGCTTGGCAATAATGCTGCAAAATCATTTTATATTAACTCTTTGATAACTTCACCTGTCTCGTCTACCAACAAAAGTTGTATTGCACTTGCATGTAGTTCTAATGGTGAACTTTGGAGATTCTTTTGTAGCCCTTCTGGTATTCAACTTGAACAGATTGAGCATGGCATGTCAAATAAATTTTCTGAAGGAAATAGTAAGGGTTCACCTGTGGCAAGTAAAGGCTATCCTAGGTCACTGATTTGGCAGTTTCCTAGTCATTCATCGGATGACACTACAAAACAGTTCCTTCTGCTAACTAATCACGAGATACAGTGCTATGCAGTAAAGCTTTCCTCTGATTTAGATGTGGTAAAGCTTTGGACTCATGAAATCATCGGCGTTGATGGTGATTTGGATCTACCAAAAAACCTTGCTGGCCAAAAGAGGTGGCCCCTTGATTTGGCTGTTGATAGTGATGGCAAGGTAATATTTGTTCTAATTGCCTTCTTTTGCACGGATCGGGTGACCAGTTCAAGTTGCTTTGAGTATTCCCTTCAGACCATGCAATACAAATCTGGAGTAGATATAGCAAAGCCAATAGGCAAACAGATACTGGAGAAAAAGGATCATGACCAATTTCTTATGCCTAAAGCTAGAGTAGAGGATGAGGAATTTTTATTCTCAATGAGATTAAAGGTAGGTGGAAAGCCAGCTGGTTCTGCTATTGTAGTCACAGGTGATGGTACTGCAACAGTTTCTAACTATCGGGGAAACTCCACCAAGCTTTTCCATTTTGATTTGCCCATTGATGCTGGAAAAGTTCTTGATGCTTCAGTATTCCCTTCCCTTGAGGAAAGTGAAGATGGCACTTGGGTTGTGCTCACTGAGAAAGCTGGAGTTTGGGTCGAACCACCCGAACGAAGCTTGTCACGAAAATGGAGTTCTAATGATGGATCTCTACAGGAGGAAAGGAGCATTTCTGTTTCTGGAAACATTGCTGCAAAAAGAGCCAGTCCAGAAGCTTGGGAAACAGGTGATAGGCAACGAGGTGCACGTCGTAGCCCTCAAGACGAGGAATCGGAATATTTACTAAGCCAGTTGTTCCATGAATTTCTCTTGTCTGGACAGGTTGATGGTGTCCTTGATAAATTGAAAAATTCAAGGGCTTTTGAAAGAGAGGGAGAGATAAATGTATTTGCCAGGATGAGCAAATCAATTGTTGACACCTTAGCTAAACACTGGACGACAACCAGGGGATCTGAGATTCCTCTATCTGTTGTGTCCACTCAACTAGTTGATAAGCAACAAAAGCATCAGAGGTTTCTTCAGTTCCTTGCTTTGTCCAAATGCCATGAGGAATTATGTCACCGACAGAGTATGATCATTGTAATTATTTAGATTATGTTATGTTGCCTTTTTTTTTTTTTTCAATTTCATACTGCTTTTCTTTTAATATTTCTGAAAATCTCTCTCTCTCTCTCCTTCTCTCTGTGATTTCTAATGATGTTTTGATGTTTATTCTCTGACCAGGACAATCTATGCAAATTATGATGGAACATGGGGAAAAGCTTGCAAGCATGATTCAACTGAGAGAACTTCTAAATGCAACTAGCCACGCTACCGAATCTGGGGTTGGCTCAGATGCTCGGACTTCTGGAGCTCTATGGGATCTTATCCATTTAGTTGGTGAGAGGGCCCGCCGGAACACAGTTCTTTTGATGGATAGGGATAATGCTGAAGTATTCTATAGTAAGGTCTCAGAGCTCGAGGATCTGTTTCATTGCTTAGAGGGAAACCTAGAACATATCATCACCCAAAATAAGCCTATTATTCTGCAATCTCAAAGAGCTTGTGAACTTGCAAATGCATGTGTTACAATCTTCCGTGCAGCCGTTGACTATAGGGCTGATCACCACTTGTGGTACCCTCCACCCGAGGGCTTGACACTGTGGTATTCAAATTTTGTTGTGTGGAGTGGGCTGTGGAATCTTTCATCATTCATGCTTCAATTGCTTAGTGGAACAGAACGGCTTAAAGTTTCTATCATACTTGATTTTTACTCGAATCTTGTAGTACTCTCAGAGATACTACTCGAATCATATTTTAATGCTATCACAGCAAAAGTCGATCGGAAAGAAGATCATCGAAGTCTGTTAGAGGAGTACTCAAAATGTAGAGATACTCTTCTCGACTCCCTTTATAAGCAAGTGAAATATTTCATACAGGTGAAGTTACAGGTAACTACTTTGAATTAATTTTTGATTGTGGCGTCATATGAGGTTTCAGAACTGACAAAATGGTTGAATACATATTTCACAATATAATTTTATCCCTTCAGTTTAATTTATCCTCCTACACCTTCTCTAATAGTAAACATTTTCACTAGAGTTATGTTGCATCCCAGCTCATATATTTTGCTTTTACTAGTAAAGTGCACGTGCGATGCACGTAGTATCGAATGATTTTCGCTGAATAAGTTTGTAAAATAAATTAATTTATTTATTAAACATATCATTGCAGCAATGAAATAAAATATAGAACAAATGAGTTCATATGTGATTTTTTTTATTTAGAATTAACGTAATGATGTTCTAATATAAAAAGAGTGAAATAACGTTTTAAACCCCAAACTAAAATATATAAAAAACAAATCCTTAATACAAAAAAAACTAAGATTTTCTTTCATCTTTCTAATAAGAACCATTCATACTCGCTGGAGTCCAATACATCAATATTATTACAAAATTCCTCTTAATTCATTTGGCAAAACGCTAGTTTTATTCAAACACTTAAGAAACATTCTGACCCAACATATAGTCAAACTTCATGATCGTAAAAAATATGAAGTATTTCAAAATAAAAAAATTTAATGATAGAAAGTAATGTGTTGATTCCAGGAACTCCCTAGCCACTCCTTAAAATTTTTAATTAAAAAATTTTAAGATTAACATACCCAATTTTTAAAGATATATATATATATATATATATATATATATATATTATGTACCTAAAAGTTCTAGTTAAAATATATGTGTATCTTAAGTATGTTTTATACAGTAATGCTAAGGAGCCAACTGTTGGCTTCGTTGGCTCCTTAGCATTACTGATGTTTTATATTTCTCATTAGCTAGCTCCAATTGATATTGTAGATTAAGTAATTTTATCAGTATTTTTACTCTTGGATTTAATGAGAGCTATAAGTTTTCTCATCATTCTTACCACTTATTTAGTTATTCTAATACTATTAAATAATTAAGGATCTTTCAAAGTATCTTGTTTGTTTTGAAACAAAAATTACTTATTATCATAAATTAAACGACAATTACATTGAATGTGTTATATTTTCTATCATATCAAAATTTTCGTAATAATAGTTGCACACAATATTATATATAATGCATTTTTTTTATATAGATTTGGAGTCCTACTTTTACTACAACAAAATGAGAAAATTCCAACGAAAATTACAACAAGAATATAACGATCTTCTTAAGTTGAATTGAGAAAAATTATGTCTTTTGGTTTCTTAAATATATTTTATCTTATTGTGATTGTATTGATTTATTAAAATGTATAACAAATGAGAAAGGTGATAGATGATGTAACGTATAATTTATAAATTACAATGACATGCTCTTTTGATGATATATTTTTTCTATTAACTAAATAATGCCCCCCAATATGAAATTATTTTGAGTCTAACACTGCAATTAGCTCTCCAATGGAATTTCCATTGAATTTTTGCACTATTCCAATGACAGTTTTTCCAACGATTGAATATATGGTCCAAAAAAAATTCCAATGGAAATTCAAGTAATTGAAATCTTTAAATCCACTAAAGTTCATGTAATTTAATTTGAACTCAGTAGGAATAACCAATGAAATTTTCCAATGAAAGCAATATTTATGAAATATTCGTTGGAATTTTCTGTAGTATACCTTACCGTTGAATTTTTCATTGCAATATAGCAATTTGTTGTAGTCCTCTTAAACATTAATTTTTTATGTAATATTTATTGATTAATAGTGTTTACAATTTTTCTATTAAAATATATTAAAAACATGAACTTTTTAGTTCCTATATTTTTTTTTTCCAGAAATCACTCATTATTTTATCTCAAGATTACCTATTAATTTACCAATTGAGTTACATTTCTTACATATTAAATATTTAAAAATTAGAATATTTCTTATTTTATATGTTCAATATGATATTTATATATTATATTAAAAAAACTAATATAGCAAATAAAAAGTTGTTTAAAATTAGAATAATAGAGATTTGCTTTTGGTAACTTACATGGATAAATGGACAAATAACTTTATCTATCACATCAAATTTACACATAAAGTTATAAGGACAAAAAACTAACAAGCGTTTAACAACTCAGCTCGTTTACATTGATAAGTATATTTATAAAAGGTTTATATTTCTTCTAATAATTATAACATTTTTATTTATTACTTTGTTTCATATTTATTAGTACGTGTCACAACTTATTTATTTTTAATATTATTTATCATATTTAATATTTTTTTAAACTTTTATCTTGTTATTTTACATGTTATTAACTGTAGATTTGTCAAAAAATGCATAATATAAAGTCTAGAATTTTTTCGTTCATCTGTCTCATTATATATCAATTATTTCTATATCTTATATTATATTATATTTAATTACAATCTCTTTTTAATTTATACTATAATTGAATATTTATAATTCATAAATTCCTCAATAATATTGTCGAGTCAACTTTTGTTCAAAAAATTTTAAAAAACATAATTGTTTACAATTATTTGCTTATGTTGAATTGAGGCAAGTTATGTTTTTTTAATTGTAACTGTATTGATGTGTAACATGTATTATAGATGAGAAAGATGACAAATTATGAAAACTATAATTTATAAATTATAATGATATTATGTTATTTTAATGGTATACCTTTTCTATTAACTAAATAATGCCTCAAGTATGAAATTATTTTGTATCAACCATTGTAGGTAGATTTTGAATAAAACTTCCATTGAAATTCTTACAATTCCAGTGACATTTTTTCTAACTGTTGAAATATGACCCAAAAAAAAATTCAAACAAAGATTCACACAATAATAAATAATGATAATTAGATTAATGAAATCAACTGAAATTTCAATATAATGTAATTTGATCTCTATTGGAATAGTCAATGAAATTTTACAATGACACCTATACGAATAAAATATCATTTGAGATTTTCAGTGGATATGTCTTACCATTGGATTTTTCATTGCAATGTACCATTTTTATTCCTTTATAAATTATATTTTTTATGTAGGAGTTTTTGTTATTAATTAGATGTATTTATAATTTTTCTATTAAAAATATATTATATACATGAACTTTTTAATCCGTATATTTTTTAAGAAATCCCTCATTATTTTATCAAAAGACTACCTATTAACTTATCAATTGAGTTACATTTCTTGCACATTAAATATCAAATAATAAAAAGTATTATTGTATATATATAATATGGTATTTATGTATTATATTAAAAAACTAATAGCAAATAAAACGTTATTTAAAATCAAAATTATTAAAGATTTTTTTAAAAAAATAAAAATAAATTTCTAACCTACATGGATAAATGTATAAATAACTATTGTCTATCGTCTAAAATTTATACAATGAACTAATAAAAGCAAAAATTTAACATGTGGTGAACAATTTGGCTCGTTTACATCGATAAGTACAAATTTAAAAGTTCTATAATTACTTTTACTAATTATAATATTTTTATTTATTACTTTTTTCCATAGTTATTAGTAAGTGTTATAACTTAATTATAAATTTAATATTATTTATTAGATTTATTATTTTTTAACTTTAAATTGTTTTTTCATGTGTATTTTAATATATATGTGTCTGTGTGTGTATAACTTTTAGTCTTGTTAAAAAATACATAAAATTAAAGTATAGCACGCTTTTGAATCATATGTCTTATTTATATCAATTAATTTTATATATTTATATTATATTATATATAATTATAATCTTCTCATTTATACTCAAATATATAAATTTTTTATTTCTTACATTTTCTTTTCTTAAAAACTATTTTATTATAATAACACCTATTAATAGATAGATGAGTAATGATAATATATGAATATACTTTTTTAATTAAAATTAATTAGTTTTCAACATGTAAATCATATCATGATTCTCGAGATATTTTTAATTAATTTGTAGATAATTATATGGTTAAAATTATTCCATGTTGCTAAAGTGGTATCTCATTTGACGTGAAAACAAATAGATTAAGTTTTAGTATTATACAATATCATAAAATTGTTCTGGTCTTATGTACCGAAGAAATTGAATTGATTAGAAGTTTAGGTTACAGAACAATCATTCAACAATTAATCTCGCATATTATTACCCAATTTGTATAGGTTATTTTATTATGCTTTTTTTGTTGGATCAATTTTAATTTCTTTAAAGAACTTTTATATATTAGAGTTACAGAACAATCGTTCAACAATTAATCTCGCATACTATTACACATTTTGTATAGGTTATTTTGAAAATAATGTTTCTATACTTTGTGGTTGTTATGAGAAAAACAATATCGATTTCTAGTTTTATAAGTGTTTATTATGCTTTTTTGTTGGATCAATTTTAATTTCTTTAAAGAACTTTTATATATTAGAGCTATGAATGTGATTACAATATTATCATTAAAATTATATTAAAAATAATGACGTTTTTCAAAACAACAATTCTATATCCTATCAAACAGTTTTAGAGATATGTGGAAGAAAACAAATTCGTGAGAAATAATGGTGCCAAACCAACATATTATAGTTGATTTTAGGACTGTGGAATGATTTGTGCATGTATTTGTATTTAATTAATTAAATATTAATTATAATAAAAAATATAAGATATGATGGACATTAGTTTATTACTAATTTGCCATTAAAAACATGTCAAAGTAAGGATTTTTTAGGTAATTCATTTTTATATTTAAAAATATAAAATATGATGTGTATTAGTGTATTACTAATTTGCCACTAAAAATATGTCAAAGTAAGGGTTTTTTAGGTAGTTCATATTTTTACAAAAACACTCGTCCTTTTAGAGTAGTATAGATTTGCGATTCATTTTTCGATTTATTTGGATGCATCTATATTCGTTACCTGTTTTGCCGTGGCAGGATTCACCTGAGGAAAAGGAGGAATTGAATAAGGATACTCTGATGACATTTTCTTCAAAGTTACTGTCAATTGCAAAACGCCATGAGGGCTATCAGACTATGTGGAACATATGCTATGACCTCAACGATTTTGAACTCCTCCATGAGTCTGATGTGGTACCACAAGCCCATTGCTTGCAGAAGACAAATTTTGTCTCTTGACCCCACTATATATATAATGCTTTTGATGCGTCATTTTGTTATTAAAAAGCTAGTCAATTTTTTTTTTTTTTTTTTTTCTATTTTTTTTTTTTTTTTTTCCTTGTTTCATATGAGCTTTTAATAAGAATAGTAATTTGAACTTCTTTTTGCAGCATGAAAACATCGGACCAAAAGGAGGTTTCAGTTGCTTTGTATTCAAACAACTCTATGATAGTAAACAATTATCAAAACTAATGCGGCTGGGTGAAGAGTTTCCTGACGAGCTTGCTACAATTCTGAGGCAGCATCCCGATCTTCTTTGGCTTCACGAGTTGTTTCTTCGTCAATTTTCCTCAGCATCTGAAACTTTACATGCATTATCTAATTTATCTCTTCCTAAGGATAACAGATCAGTTTCAGATACTGATGAGACTGAACCTAGTGGCCCACAACCTAAATCAACTTTGGCTAGAAGAAAGCATTTTTTGATTCTCGCAAAACTATCAGCAATGGCAGGTACTGGCTATCCAGCTGTAATATGCTACAAAATTCTTATGATTGTGATTGCTCTTTGGATGTGTGATCTATATTAAGAATTGTGCCCTCCAAAACGAAGTATCGAATAGGGTATTTAGGGTTTCCTTTAATCATATAATACAACGCCCTAGAGGAAATTTAAGAAGTCCAAAATTTGTGGTAGATGGAATGTCATCACCCTTTGTTTCTGGTAGAAGGATGTAATATTTAATTTTTTGGTGTCCTTTATCATTTTTTACCATGTTGTTTGCACCTGAAATGGTGATACCAATCTTTGAATCTGTCAGGAAGAGAAGTTGGCGACGAGCTAAAGGTGAAGCGTATTGAAGCTGATCTGAATTTTCTACAAGTGCAGGTATTTAGTCCAATTCACATGTTTGTTTTGTTAACTGACATGGAGAAGAAAAAAAATAAAAAATTGACGACAACAATATGTTGGGATTTAGGTTATCTATATTGTTTATCATATTTTGATAACATGCCTAATCACTTGATCCATATACTCCAAATAATATTTTGTCTGGACTAACGTTGTCTCTTACTCTTAAAGGAAGAAATAGTGAGGCTTTTACACGATGATAATAAGGACAAGCAATTTATGGTGCAGCAGCTTCTTGATCCGCTGGAACTCATCAGAATGTGTCTTAAAATCAACAAGCGGGAGCTTTCTTTGCGACCCTTCGATATATTCTTTTGGATGAGTGCGTCCTTTCTCAGAAGCTACGCAGTTGTTTTGGAGGAGTGCTGGAGAAATGCTGCAAGTCAAGATGATTGGAAGAGACTGTATGGCTTGTCCATGACTGAGGGCTGGAGTGACGAGAGAACCTCTGAGGTTCTCGAGCAAACTGTACTTTTCCATGCTGCCAGAAAATGTTATGGGCCTCACTCAAAAAATTTTAATGTGAAATTCGATGAGGTGCTCCCGTTGAGGTCGGAAACGATTCAAGTCTGGTCTGTGGAAGATGCCTTAATGATGCACAAGGATTATTTTGATTCGGGCAAGCTGATGCTGACCGCTATCCTGCTCGGGAGTGTTTGACCAAGGGAGTGCAGATAGTTTCTGTGTCAGGTTGTCTTGTTGTTGGTTCTTGTGTCAGAAGTTGGATTTGGGCTTTTTTGATACCCAACTTTTGCAGATTGAGATGGCTATTGATAGTTTGATAGTGGTTGGGTGTAAGGTTTGTGTGTGCAGCACCGAAGGAGAAAAAAATGAAGAATATTTTACCCTTTTTAGTCTGAAATTTCTGTTTCTATAAAGTTTGATATGATTAAACGTAGGGCGAATTTGTTTTACACTCCAATATATACATATATTTTCTTTTGTACACTATCCCATCAAAAAACTTTTTTTTCACTACACTACTTACGAATTTATATACGATATAAATCGTCTTTCAAAATGAACCTTATAATTAACAATTATGCGAGATTTCGCCGTATATATACTAACGCATATCTAAACCAGATGTATAGTTAACATTAGGAAATACATTCGCATATTTATTAATCATATTTCCAAATCTACAGCATAATTTTTGTTCTGCGAATTTATTCTGTATATATAGTTATTGCATATTCAAATTGATACTAGCATATTTTATGATTATGCGACATGTTTTTGCATATTTTACGTCGCATATCCATGTCGGACGCATAGTTAACTAATATACGAAACAATTACGCATATTATGTAATCGCGTATCCAAATCGTCTCATTTTTTTATCAGTATAGTTTTCGTCTCACATATCCAAATTTATCGCATAATTTGTCATATGCGATAATGTTTTGCATAATTTAAGACTCGCATATCCAAATCGAATGTTGCATATTTTATGTTACGAGACATACTTTCGCATAGTTGACTAATCGCATATCCAAATCTACAGCATAATTTACCAAATCCGAGAACTTTTTGTATACTCAAGAATCGAATTTCCAAATACATCGAATATTTTATGTTATGCGAAATTGTTTCGCACAGTTGCAAATCGCATATCCAATTCAAAAAAGCTCACTAAGTGTCAAGCCATAAGATCCCAGAAAGCGCACTAAGTGTCAAGGTCGGGTACCAAGTTAATCCCAGAAAGCGCACTAAGTGTCAAGGTCGGGTACCAAGTTAACCCGTTCAGGCTATAAGAGTGTAAAAACACACTTAGGGCCAAGGTTGGGTACCAAGTCTGTTCGATTGGGCCGCGAGAGCCCATGAATTGAATAAATTTAAGATTGGATACCTAAGGAGATGCTTGGATATAAATTTTTTTAATTTTGTTTGGATTCTTTGGTTTAGCTTAATTTGGTTAATTTTGAAAAATGTGGTATGGTTAGTTGTTAGTGGGTATTAAAATAATATTTAAAATAAGATAATTAAAGTTGTTTTGACGTGAAAATGGGAGAGAGAAGATTTGGAGTGATAATTAGTTAAAATTATGTGAGAAAATGAATAGTGAATTAAAGTTGAGTAGTGTGTAAGAATGATTGATTGATATTATTTAATTATATTGATAATATCGAGGATAATGAGGTTGGGTTAAAGTGAGTTAAAAAAATGGTTGAATTAAAAATGATTAGATTTTTTTGAGAGAGTTTATATCCAAGCATCCTCTAAGTTATCCGATCAAAGAAGTAAGAAGTTCGAGAAAAGAACATGAGAATTATTGAAAAAATACACCAACCTAATGAGAACGATCCATTTCCAAAAGGCAACGACATTCAAAGAGAGAACTAAATAATAGACTCGCGATTATGAGAAATCAAAATCGCATTAGAAACTTAAACCATTCGTATCATCGCCCCTATATATAATTTTCGAATGCGCTGAGCCTAAGTGGCAGGTTCGTGTGCTTTGTAAGCTTATTTGGCATAATTTGGTGCTTCGCATTGACACATGTTCAGGTTTGGTTTTGACCATTAGGCTTGAGAATTACCATAAACTATTTTAGCTTTCATTTTTTTTTAAGTCAGCATATACTAGCCTCACCTTTTTTATTTAGTTCATATATTAGTTATTATATATATGTATTTTTTTTAAATCTTTTGTAACTTTTTATTGTATTTTATTTTTGAAATGTGATCTACTAAAATATTTATATTTTAACGATCTTCGATTTGACATCCATATTGCATATATAAAATACATAATAATTTCATCTACATTTATAAAAAAAAAATAATTTTATTATCAACTCAATTTAAAATACATAAAATAACCATATAAATTATTTGTAGGAAAAACATATGTTTTTTTGCTAAAATTTTGTGTGCATATGATTATTTGTAGGAAAAACATATGTTCTATTGATTGGGTGATAGATATGATTGTTGAAAATTCTTCAAGTATTGACAAGAAAAATGTGGATGATACAATGCATGGTGACTTTTTAAATAGCGGCCGAAAATCAAACGACGAATCAAGAGTTGGAATGATTTTTAATACCGTTGATGAAGCATGGGATTGTTGGCAAAATTATGGGAAGCTAATGGGATTCGGGGTCAAAATAAATTATCGCAACAAAAGTCAAAAGGATGGAGTATATAATAACACAGTTTTTGTTTGTCGTAAGGAGGGTAAGAGAGTTGAAGATAAAAGGAGGGTGAGAGCCGTACATCGATAGGAAGAAAGAACATCATGCAAGGCTAAATTGAATGTAGTTTTGGAGAGGTCGGCTAGAAAATACAAGATCAAAGAATTTGTTGCAGAACATAATCATGAACTTGAGCCTCAAAAAACGAGTCATATGTTAAGATCGCATAGGCAAATGAGCCATGCCGCCGCTGCTGCAATTGATTTGGCACATGATGTCGGACTCACCACAAAAGCAACACATCACTTGAGGATTAGAGAAGCAGGGGGTTGGGATAAACTTGGATACATATTAGAAGATCAAAAAACTTATTTGCGCTCGAAAAGAAAAAAAAAAACATGGTATATGGTGAGTTGGGAAGTATAATATGATACTTTGAATAGAGAAAAAGCAAAGACCCTTCATTTTTTTATTCAATGCAGTTTGACAGTGACGAAATGATCACTAACATATTTTGGGCTGATTCGAGGATGATTGTTGATTATGGTGATTTTGGCGCGGTAATTACATTTTACACAACTTATGGCACAAACAAAGGATTGAGACCATTAGGTGTATTCACGGGATTTAATCACCACAGGCAAATGGCCATTTTTAGAGGTGCACTTTTGTACGATGAGACCACTGATTCGTTTGCTTGGCTTTTTGAAATTTTCTTGAATGCTCATGGAGGTAAAAAGCCTCAAACTATTTTTATGGATCAAGATGCGGCTATCGCAAATGCTTTGGCAAAAATATTGAAAAATACACAACATGGGCTTTGCACGTGGGACTTGAATCAAAATGGGGTCAAACATTTGAGTTGGCGTATGAAAGAAGATTCTTCCTTCATGATGGAGTTTAAGAGGTGTATGTTTGAATATTTGGCAGAGGATGATTTTGAAAAATGAAAAAACTACTTGATAGTTATGATATGCATGATAATGAATGGTTGTCGCGTACATATGCGCTGAAGGAGGAATGGGCCAAATGTTACATGAAGTACACATTTACCCTTGGTATAAGAAGCATTGAGAGTTTGAATAGTGATTTGAAATCCTATTTAAAATGTGATATGAATATTTCTGATTTTTTAAGCAGATTGATAGGGTTGTCGATGAAAAAAGAGAGCAGGAGCTTAAAGCCGACTTTGATGTTAGACAGAAGATATCTCCACTGGAATCATATGATTCTTTATTGTTGATGCAAGTGCCACAGTTGCACACTACTGAGATTTTTACACTCTTTCAGACTGAACTCCGTGTTGATTTAAGAGTGATGATAAAAAGAAAAGATGAGATTCAACATCCACTTGAATACGTGGTTCGTCTCCATGGTTCAAGAGAAAATAAGATGAAAGTACTCTTTGATCCTACAAAAGATTGGGTCATCTGTCGTTGTAGAAAGTTCCAAATCATGGGAATATTATGTTGCCATATCCTGAAAGTACTTATTGTTCAAGTCTTCAAGATGTAATGTGCATTCCACAAAAGTACATATTGGGCAGGTGGACAAAAGGCGTGAAAAGTGCCCAAAATTTAAATAAAGAAAATTCACATGGTGCAGAAGATGTTAGGGAATGGGTCCAAAGACTTCAATCTCAACTCTTGCGGATGACACTTCAAGCTTCCGCCATGAAGAGACACGAAGTTGTATGGAGTAGATGGTGTAGTAATGTAATAAGCAAGTTTTTGCTTTTGCAACAAATAATGAGATATTAAATGAAGAAGTTCCTTCGTCCAACGTAGATGGTAGAATTGAAAATATGAAAAGCTTGACAAAAAGGGCGGAAAAAGGGGAACAAAGTGGCCGAAGGGTTGGGTTGAAAAACATGTGAAGAAATTCAAAAAATCAAAATCATTAAGTGACCGCGCGTCGCAACGCGGCAAATTAAATTTTATAACTTTTCCTCGACTAACCTCTACTAACTAGTAGTTGACCGCGCGTCGTTACACGGCAAATTTGAATTTATAATTTTTCCTAACTTACCCCTACTAACTAGTAGTAGTGGCGAGCAAGGGTCGATCCCACAGGGAGTGTGGTATAAACCGTGATTTTATTATATTAATTAGATTAAAATAAAAATGGGGGAGAATTTGGTTTATTACGAAACTACTAGCAAAACAAGAAATAAATTAAAACTAAAAATAAATGACTAAAATGCAAATGATGATGAAATGAAAAATAAATAAAAATAATCTAGCAAAGATGAGAATGGGAATCGGTTCCAGGTTAGTCTACACCCTCGAATAACTAGCCCAATTAATGCTTTTATCAAATTTCACTCGTCTTCTAAAACTACCGGTCCTAGATAGCAATAAGCTCTGCTACCCGAATTTTCCCTTAATTTATACTTAATCGAAATAGGCTCTTCAATTAATTCTAACTAGCGAATAACTCGGAATAAGCTCTCCTAATTTAATCCACTAGCCGCATTAAAATCTAGGAAAATAGACCAATCTAAGCCACAAACACATAAGCTCGGTTCATGTAACTTATGTTGTGCTATCCCTAACAATGCACGACTGTTAGTTGCTACAAACGAAATAAGAGCGACGACAATTACGGATCGAAGCCTCAAATCTAGCAATTAACATGCAATTCCTAACTTAGGTGATCAAGCTAAATTAAAAATCACACGTTATGACATGAAACTAGAATAACACAAACAATTTTATACGACGAGTAAAACGAAATAAATAGCATTAATCAAAC